TAGGTTGTTTTCTGGCAACGACTTCTCACCCAACCACTATGACAAAAACAACAACAAAAACAACGTGATCGATACGAAGAGGTATACTCGGTAGGGTTTTGTCTGATATTTTCAAATTTATACTTGCGTTCGTCAGAAAATAATTTGGAATATTGAAGTGGGCTTTTATGTCCACTGTTCCGCTAGTCCTGATCGCAGGCAGATTGGAGTTAAATTTGTCCCCGTCAGGCAGGACCCACATTGGTGACAAATACTTTTATTTCTCACGGACGCTCTAGTGAGATTAAGCTTTTTCTCTCTTCGGCCGGATGCATGCGCTCAGCTTTTAATTCCACATGCATGTGGTAAAACAGCTGGAGTCCTCAATAAAGGAACGTCTACGGTAATCTATGTATAAGACCAACACTCTTTTTTCCATTTTCTAGAAATGCTGTACCGACATTCGGATGTGCTGGCGCTGTTTACTGTCGCTAGGCGCGATTTCCACCCGACTCAACTAGTCTTCCAGCAATGACTCTTGTTCAATAAAGATAGTTAAACCTTCTTCATATATCTGGGCAACATGGAGTTTTCTCCAGTCTCCCACCTTTTCACAGCTATCGTAGTATCCTACCTTCCTTTACGGCTTGACAGCATTTTTCCCTGTTGTCCAGCCCTCACTGTAGTCACACTTGGGGTAAAAAAAAATGGATAATTCATGGTATTTTCTTGTCTATCCACACCTACACATAAGACTTTACTCAGGACGGGTGTGGTGGACTTGTGAAAGGGTTGATTTAATTCCACCCATCTCTAGACAGGAGAAACCTGTGCTAACTTACTGGTGGTCGTGAAGGATTTGGAGGAGATACCATGGAACAGTTCTGGTCCTCCTTCCCTCTCCGATTTTTTACGCACTGATCAAGTCCTGCTCTGCCTTCTCAATCTTCACCAGCAGGGCTTGGGATATAGACCAGAGGGGACTTCGACACTGCCCCCATCCCCTTGGGTCTGACGCTAATGGTTACATTGCTTTGCAGTTGCCTTCAATGCCCAAATTTCTAGGCACTATCTACGGTAGCAAGGTTCTAGAAGACATTTATTCAGTCAGATGAATACCTTTGTCTGTTCATTCGGCTACCCTCTCGCAGTCATGGTTGCCCCTCGTTTGGCCAGGGTCTTCATTGGATTCCTACCTTTGTCGATACAGGTAATTGTTTCATGTGTATGGGTTCCTGTCACAGCAACTTGACCCCTGTTAGGTTCAATCCAACTTCGTTGGGATGTTGTTTTACTTCCTACTCCAATTCCCTCATCTGGGCTTTTTATCCCACGTGCATATCTTCGGCCCGAGGACATATCCTTAAAACCTGATACCTCTCGCCGTCAAGACACACTTTATTAGCAGTTGAAACTGACAATGGGCCCTCAACTGCTGGCCTCTGCTGGCACTTCCTGATCTTCATGGGGCATTCCAGTTCCCCGAACTTTCAAATTTAGGCACAGGAGTACGTGGGTTAGCACATTGTCACTTCATCCGCCTCCTTAGCCTCCTGAAAGTTGAGTGTATGCATGTTCCGATGAGCCCTAGGCTTTGGAATTAACCTGAAGGTAACTCACGTCTCGAAGCCAATAACTCTTTTACAGACGTCTGCTCCAACGGAAGGATTCACGCAACAGAACTGACATTATATCGCTGAGCCAGTCCCTTGGTACCTGACCGTCTGCATATTGCTGGCTTAGCCTCGACATGAAACATCTAGGTGCTGTTATTCTGCTCAAGACTCCCAGCGATTCTTTCAGAATTTGCCAGAGAAAACATCTGCTATTCAGACCATTAGACCTTCCTAACCCTGAGAATTATTTTAGCAAGATTCCTAGGGTAACAATTATACAGGAGTACACAGTTCTTCGTTTTCGTGACATGACGAACAGTGTGAATTCCAATGTGTGCAGTAACCGATTATCTTCTATGCGACTAAGTACTGCCAATTACATGTACCTACTGTTTGTTGCCTCAGCTGCCTACGTGCTTCCCAAATTAACTTCTATCCCTTAGACAACACAGACTCTAGGTATTTATTTATTTATCATTTATTTACCCTGGGGAAACCTCTCAGTTACTGCTGTTTTCCAGAGACGCCCAGCATATATACATTGATTAACATTCCTAAGAATAACACTAACATTGACACATTCATAGAAAAATAAAAAAATACTATAGATGTATACCAAATGGTAAATTTAAACTTACTGGTAAAACAATGGCCCAAAATAAAACAAAAAATAAAAATAAACACCTGGCCCCATACACCTAATTATTTGTTATTAAAAAACCAGGCTTCTGTACATGTTTTTAACACAACATAGTATTTGGTAAAGGACGTTTAAGTGTTACATGGAAGGCACTGAGGGTATACGCTCCACGGACTACAAATCTACGTTGACCCGATCTGGTTTTACTAAATGGTATAACAAGATTACCATGGGAACTAGACTTAGTATTTCGCACACAAGCATTCATAATGGGAGTTAAACAATTGCACAGCTGAGGTGGAAGTTTCGAACTTAAACTTTTGTATACAAGTGTACTCAAATGAAAAGTGCGTCTGTCGTCCAAAACAGACCAACCAAGTGTTGATCAAGGTCAGTGGACGATCTTCGAGGGAGTTCCAGAATGACTCGCCCAGCACTACTCTGAAGTTGGTCAAGTTTGCCAAGGGACGTTTTGGATAATTCATCCAATTCATCCCAGACAACATCGCAAAAATCAAATTGGAGAAGAATCAGAGTTTTATAAAGCAAGTTTAAAATGTGCTGAGGGATAACATTCCTGACTCTCCGGAGAAGCCTCACACGTTTGTCAATTTTATTCACCAAATTATCAATGTGAATATTCCAGGTTTGAGGTGAATCCAACCAAATACCTAAATATTTGAAGTAATGTTATCGATTGGTATACCATCAATCGTCACCTGCAAGTCACATTCTTTACGACTAAGCTTACCTATGTAAGCCTACCATCAACATACATTTAGTTTTATTGATGTTTAAAGTTAATAGGTTCGCCTTAAACCATTTAGAAATTTCAGCCATATCCTTATTGATGGCTCCGTTGATCTCTTCCACAGTCCTGGCAACGAGTAAGAATAGCCGTATCATCGGCATATAAAAATACCACAGAATCTGGGGAAACAACATTGACAATATCGTTATGGTGCAAGGTAAAAACAAGCGGTCCTAATGTGGATCCCTGTGGTACTCCATACTCAACTCGAGTTGCCGTGGAATAGTTGTCAACTATTTTGGTCACCTGCTGTCTGTCATTGAAATATTAGCATAGCCAGTCGAGTTCCCGACCATGCACTCCAGTTCTAAACGGTTTATTAATGAGACGGCTGTGGTGGACAGCATCAAAGGCTTTTTTTAAATAAAAAAAATACACCACTATAGTACCCGGAATTCATTCATCAAAAAGGTACTCAGTCACATTTAAGAGATAAGTTTGGGTGGAATGCAATGGCCCAAGTCCCGACTGGTTGCTTGTAAGAATATGCCAACGGTTTGGCAAGCTGCCCACATCCAGCTTTAAGCAGCCTTGGGCTAACTTGACCATCAAGCCCAGTAGCCTTGGTAGAATCCAGGCTGCTATAAGTAACTTGCATACTTCAAAAGGAATCACAGCCACAAACCGGAATGGCTTCCCCACTTCCTGGCAAACATTTCAGTATACAGCCGCCCTTTGTTGCTCCCAATAGCTGCTTCATTCCTGGATAGTGGTCTGTTGATGATATCTTCCACACATACTCCCGTTGGGGGATAGTCCCACGGCGCTTTTTTTATCTTCGTCATAGGAAAGCTACAATTCAAGGCCCTATTCATTCTCCCCGTACAAATCGTGGGCCAGGAAACAAAGCTGAGAGGTAAAGCCGTAAACAGCATCTGTTCCAAATGGCTGGTTTTCACATACTTCAGACCTTGCCACCCTATCATGATCCACGACGCTAGGCTTTATATGTACTTGCACAATGTCGACATCTTCCGATAGAGTATGTTGGCAGTTATCTACATGACTAAATGTTATTTAATGCTACGACCATTTACCTCAGGCTACCTCTACCACGGGAAACGAGTTTTGCCGAGACATACCAATAATACCCTCTTCGCCGAGACCACAAGAACAAGTACTAAGTCTACTTTCAGCTACACTCCGCATCTTTGGGTGTCCTCCTTTCATGGCCCTACACACTATTTAGTTTGGTATGTTGACTGGCCTTCTGGCCCAGATGACCCATGTAGATGACACATTTTTGTCCTTGATGTCCAGGCCGTTTCATCAGTAGGGGCCTATTTCAAAGGGTTTCCTGTGACAAGAGATTTGTTGAGAGCCTTTTCTGTGCACAAATCAAGTGCACCATTGCGATTCAGTGCCTTGGATGGCATCATAATTTATAATATGCAAATATACATTAGCATTAAAAACCAAAACAGCTCAAAAAAGGGTTAAAATTGCCAAAAAAATCAAATAATGTTAATAACCTATTTGCGAGTTAAATGTGAATAAAATCTGGAACACTTTATCTGATTGCTTATAAACGTAACAATTTGAATTCCTCAGCCTAAAGGCACTGTTATACCTCGTGATTCAGGGAGAGCTTTTGCATAGCGACCACCATCTCTGGAATGGACTGTTCCTTTGTGCTCCTCTTATCCATTGAGAACAGTGTACATGTATTGTTCCAAGGCGTATCACGAGGTATAACAACAGTGTTTTCAGTCTGGAGAATTCAAATTGTTATGTTAACGTGAATTTAAAGAACTTAGGTTTATTGAAACCAAGACGTGCAATTTCAAGGGTTTTCCTCAATATTTCTATTTCATGGTCCCTTTAATGGTAATTTCCCACTCTACCCGCCAGCACAAATTTGTCACAGCATCCACTCAGATTCGACAAACATAACAATGAATCTCGACGATTACCAGTTACATTGTCCTGAACACGATAAACCGTTAACAATTCCTTCAAGGGTAAGAAAGCTATGAACTATTTATTCATTCTCAAACAAAATCCAGTTACAAATGGATTCCGAATATTGTATGTGACTGAAGTTAAGGAGAGTTGTTTAAAAAGAGGTATTTTTTAAACGTGACAAAGGTATCAAGTTTATGTATATTACCCGGTGTCTATCTTATAATAAAGTTTGAGTTTTGTATCGCATAAACGGTCCTTTAAAACACGTGAATTTGAGTTTTTATACAGAAAATATATTACTCATAACGACCATTACGAATCCATCATTTTAAAATAAATGAAAATGTAGCACAAGTGACTTTGAACAATACAAACGCGGCAGCACCTAATTTTTAAGATTTTAATTCAATGAGCAGTAACACGTCACGAGAACTAAACTTGAACCTCTATGTACACAGACTAACTATAGCCATGGATGGACTTGGCTGCAAACGGCGATACCAAACTGAAACCCAGTGTATTCCTCACGTGCAACTTCTTTAACCACTGGCCTTTTACCACATATGCAACTAAAACCCTGTTTACAATTTATAGATAGAAACGATTTAACAAGAAGGTTGGAATATTTCAGTATTAAATTGTTTTTTGTTCTCTGCACCAAGTGCAGCCAATATTCAGACACGTCTTTTTCGTTCTTTCTAGTTGCGACCAGCATAAATTCTTTCAAAACAAAGATTAAGTTAGAAATACCCAGGTCACTGATTTCCTCTGGACCTTCATGATATCCATCTTAATGGGGAATCTGTGTTCATTTTTATTAAGATGAATTCTTGACTTTGAAAATATTTACAAAAAGGACTTAAAACACTGAAAAATTCAATCAATGAAAATCATCTGCATACAAATTATACAAATTTTTGATATAAAATTTAAAAACACTGACTTCATCACATTATTTTTAAATAGGATTTTGAAAATGGTGCTCAGAATTTTACAAGTCTAATTCCGGGTTAATAAAAATAACTGCCTTGGACAAAAGACCAGTGGTTGTTGGCCACACTACTTTATGATGGATACCGATATATGAATTGCTGAAATAAAGATCGATGTGAGATTTGGAGCGAGGGCAAAATATTTTTCACAATGGTCTTACTTGTATGAAACTACATACATATAAATTACCCAAGGAGTATAAAACATGCAAATTCATATTTTTGGCTATTTCCCCCTTATTTGTCTTTTTAACCTTATCAACATGCATACATTTGTGCACATGTAAATGTATTCTGTATTTTAGGGCAAAATTTGGTTTCACCAAATGCTAGCCAAGGAAGTCACAAAATTATGTGGTCCATACAAATTATGAAATGTAAACAGAACTATGCACTTAATTTATGCGTACAACTCTGGAAATGAATGCAAGTAAACAGCAAACAACTGCTAAAGAAATCTACATGCTTAAAGTTACCATCTACAAGTATAGGTTACATCCACAAACAATGAACCAGAATTATTCCAAATAAAGTGTGTTCTTTTTTCTACAGACCCATCCTTATATTGATTAGTCTCAACAATAAGGCTGAAGCAGGACTGGTGGTCTACTTCTGTCAAGGTGTTGGGGCTTCATCTTAGGCATCCTCTGCAGCATCTTTTTTGGCAACATCTCCATTAGTCTTCTGTCTCTTCAGGAATTCTTGGCCCTCCTTGAAAAAAAATCAGAGATGCCGTAACAAGGAGTATCCTTCTAAAAGGAAAATGCTATTGGTAGAACACCAGGTGTAGCCTTAACCAAACCTAGGGGGTCAAACTGGAACTCATTTGATAGTGAAAGCTCATTTGATAATGAAAGCTATTTAGAAGTTTATTAGAAACGTTGCCAAACTGATGTATTTACCTGTTGTGCTTACAATAAATCCACTCTCCACTTCGACATCCCTACTGCAAAACCACTCAAACACATTGCAAAAACTCTTGACACTACACAAAGCTTGTACTTCAAGTAATCTTACTCTATTTCCACGTGCATGATAAAAAAAGGACATACAAAAAATCATATTATGTATTATGATAATAAACAAGCATGGAGTCCCTACAAACTGTACTTAATTTAAAACAGACATAACAAATACCCACACACAAATAGCACACAGACATATACATCCACGAATTAACAAAAGTAATGACTACAAACATTTGAAAGAAAGTATCCCATGAATTTCACAGCTCGGTACCTTTTCATTACATTTTGAAGATGCACATTTAAAAATGATGTTCTTCCTTTGCACAGTGATTTAAAACCCTACCTGACCCAGATAATAGTGAATACAGTTAAACTGTTTTCACTAACATAAATTAAAACAAATTAGCAAGTCTTTGTTGCTTCTTGTTTTGGCTGCACAAGATTGTTTTTACAACAGAGGCATTGGAGAAAGTACATTATGGGTGCACCAACACAACTAGACCAGAACTACATGTATGTCCACCGAGCTCATTAATAAAAGTTACGCACTCAAAATATTCTATATTAGAGAGCTCTCTAAATCAGAAAGATTGAAATTAGGGACAAGACGTTTTAGAGTGAAAATCACTCTGAATTTGGACTGAAAAAGGCTGAAAATGGCCCCTTCCAATGGAAGCTCAAGTGAAACTTCAATCTTCTGGAGTGAAGAAATTTCACTCCAATTCGTCCTTAATTTCAATGGGAGGGATTGAATTTTCACTCGAATAGAGCAAATTTTCACTCTTTGGAATTTAGAGAGAGTCCCAAGAGCCATGGAATTGGGGAATTGAGGAAATATGGTACTGAACCTCTGGCCTGGACTCAGGGCTTCCAATTCTGAGCAAATTAGATGCAATCAGGTCTAAACGTGGCACTATTCAGCCGTTTTTGCAGAGGGATGCAGTTTCAAAATGGCTATTTTTCAGGCAGTGAAATTTCCTTCATTCTCGGGTGGTCTGCTCTGGGTGAGAACATCTCAAAAAGTCATCAGTCAACCCACAAAAATTGAAAGGGAAATGAAAGAGGACATGTCAAACATCATTTTTCTGTCCAGCCTGGACACCTGAGAGTTGTATTGTTCGAATTATTTTGAAATATAAGGATTTACCATTGGTGTCTATGGGAATTTATTTGTAGGGGTAGGCCTACAACCTTATTAGATGCATTTTGTTCTCCATGAATGACAGCACTTTCTATTGACAATAATTCACATTTCTGGAAAGATAGATCTAGTCTGGCAGCCAGACCCAACTATTCTCATCGAATTAAGGGTCCGTTATCACCCAATGTCCACGTGACCAAAACTTGTCCCATCCACATTTGGATAGCATCGTTAATGTTTGGGTTTTTCCTGACATGTCAGAATGCAAATAATATATTTTAACATATTTTTCTTTTGTTTGTTGCCTACAATGTTGCTCCCTTCCTACACATTTTTTTTTAGTTTCTTGTTTTCAAAGTGACTATCAACATTATCAGCCTGTATTTACTTCTAAAGTTAGGCTCCACTCCAAAGCATATTCCTAAGCTTGACAAGCGTGTGATTTAGGTTAGAAGTGCACTCTCATTGGCTGATGAGGAAGCATTCAATGGGCATCTCTTTTGTTCACCCTCATGGAGACACCACAGTAATGTCACCGGATCAGTCTATAGTCGACATATCTCAACAAATTGAGGGTGCTGTTCATTGTTTCTCATTAACAATGTTAATTCCTGGCTGAGGATGGCTTACAAAGTTGATTTTTTTTTGGCACAATGATGAAATGTGCGACTTTCTCACTGGCTTATTTTGTAGCCAATAAATCATTTAACCAATTTATGAATAAAGCAGGCAATCTCTGCCTTGGCCATTTATGGCTGATTGTAAAATGCATCATCAAACATACATGTATCTTGATGTGTATTTCTCTTTAGGTATGTCTACATAATTTATTGTAAATATCAACGCAAATTTCTGCACTCTAAAATTTTTTCAGACCAAAATTTATATCAGTTGAAGGAGTGTCAAACAAGCTAAGAAATGATGCATAGTTTTCTCTGTAAAGAGATGATTTTGTTTTCCAAAAACAGATTTTTATTGTTTACAACTTTCCAAGTGTTATTTAATTTTCCAACTGTCTACCCTTCTTCAACGAACAGCATAGGTACACCGTATGTGCTGTACATGTACTTCAGTGAAATATCCAGTGACTTTGTTTACGGGGGAGGGGGGGCTGAACGTTGAACGAAAAAAAAAAACATGATTCTTGTCATCAACCGATTTTAAAAATGACTTTAAGAACCTAACCTAGCCTTACTCTCCAGGCTGGGTCAATATAAAAGTCATCAACTGTCAAAAAATCATCAGTGAGGGTAACATATAAATCAGCCGAAATATGATGGGAACACTTCCAGCGGGGTATTTCAAATCGCTCTACAAAGTGCAGTCTGTGCAGTGCTGTACAGAGAAAATTAAAATCAGGAGCCACTGGCTCCTATACTCCTAGAAAAAAGTTAGGCCCTAGGTTGATTTTTGTACATTGTGCACACACATTTTCAAAATACACAAGTTACATGTACAAAACCTGACAAAACAAACAGATACAGAACATTATTCTGTCAGTTATCAGGACAGACAAGGCTTTGCATTTTGTGATTGTGGAATAGATAAAAAATGGCAACCAATTATATGAAAAACCAGCTGAAAGAAAAGACAAGGCATATATGTTTTTTTACTTTTGAGTATTTTGTACCTAGAACCGGACCGGACCAAGGGAAGCTTTAAACCTTTTGGTTTCAAACTTACATTTGGGACTGAAAAAAGTTGATTGCACTGGAATTGTGGAGTGTATAGACTGCTAGTGCATCTAATGAATGTATGCAAGATACATTATCTCAGTTCTCCAATCACACTCTACACAGCGTGCGACCACAAACCAGTCAACTCAGGTACATAGTACCTGTACGTGCGTGTATATACATGTACCTTCATGCAAGCTACGTTGCAGTTGAACGTGGGCTCATGCTACGCACATAGTAAGAAGGAGAAAAAAATGCATGATCATAGAGCTGGTGACACATTTGTGATCGTTTGTGAAATATGACTGACAAGGTGGGCGACTAATCGTGGTCACCATTGGCGATAAGAATTCAACATGTGGTCGCATAATCATCATTTTATGGCACAAATGCACCTGTTTTGGTCGCACCGTACAGCACTGGGTCTGTGCAGTAATTGAAGCTGAGCAAGACATGCTACTGCCAGCCTTAGCCACAATGAACGGTCGCAGGTACAGTCCTTAACACCCATCTTGCAGGGTCTCGATTCAAGTTTTTTGTAGGCCTACAAATAATCAAAATTCATCACCAATCAGATATGAAATAGTGCAAAGTGTATTTTTAAATTGGTCTTGTACTGGTCTCGGCTGAAAATTCCGAGAACAAGAGGTGCGGGATCAAAACCAAGACCAATAATCCAAGACCAGCATGTTCAAGACCAAGACCGCGTTCAAACTGGTCTCGAGACCAAGACCAGTCTTGATGAACTACAATGCTGGTATCATACTGTGGTACATGGCATTTATGAACTTTTTAATGTTATTTCTGAGCAAATGCAGAAACCTGAATTCAGAAAAAAATAAAGTGCAAGAGCAACTTAACAAAACTGGACTGAATAGGCCTGGATGTATTTCTAAAAATGGTTACTGGTATGTGTATCACTTTAAGTTCCATCTCCCTTGTTTCATTACGCAATGCACACTAGTTTATTTCGGTAGGGCTTATCGCACCACAGGTATGGTGCTTTGCAAGGCTTCTTCAATTTCCGAACATGATGAATGAACTTGGAGATAACTATTCCTCCAGATTTTATTTCGACTCATTCCCATTGCCATGAGTTTTTAATGCCTTTGTTGATCTCCTTATCTGTCCCTCTCCTTTCCGATGAATAACATCTTTCATGTCTTTGCAACATGACACGATAATTCAAGTTGTATTGGTAATGTTAAAAAACTTGATCACGTACACACTGATGATGCTGAACCACACACAAAAATACTCTTCATATAGTGAATGTCACTTGTCTGTTAGCAACATTACCAAATTTTTGTCCATAAAATAACCAATGAAAATTGTTGTTTAACATGTATCTCCAAATACCAGCCTGGTTTTGGGTTTGTATGGGACTGGCTGCACCATGTGTGTAAAGCTGTTTGCACATGCTACAATGCATGAAATGCACTATACATGTACATGCAGGATATGTCTACACATACTACCATGGAGGATTAAAACACAACAGTTTATGATGAAAGAACGTGACACAGGAAGGTAAAATACATGTTGTAAGGAAAACACATTTTGAAATTTTCAATACAGAACATTTCAATAAGATTTGATATTTCAACGTCAAAACATGTTTCTGAAGAATAGATGTCGGAAAGTGTAGTGTAGTCCAAACTGAGGATGTCAATTTTCTATTGTCGGAGGTAAAGTAAAACCTTAAAATCTTAAAATTATTACAGTCTGAAAATCACAATAACAGTCAGAATTCTGCCCAAAGTCTGAGGAATTTCGTCCCTGGTTATGCTATATGGCTGGCAATGGACCTGCCTGATGCTACACATGTATGTGTGGAGTCCATTCAGATGTCTGACCTGGCCCAGCTACAGCTATGGTCAGCAGCAGCAGAAGTTTTGTGGTAGATTAAAGTGGTTGCACATGACCACAGTCACAGTTTGTCCGATAACTGCATTGTGGAAGCAGCTGCCGTAATCCACAGAATAGCCCCGATACAAGTTTCTTTACATTTCACAGGACAGCGCAACTGATCTGGACAAGTATACCGACACCGTGGTAGGGGAAAAAAACTTCTGCGACGAACTGTGTCTGCCAACAAAGACTGTTACTCAATATCCGAATTCCAAGCCATGGTTTAAAACAGTATTCACGGCTGGACCCGGCTGCCTTTAAAAAGGCGAAGTATGACTTGGAAAGGAGCATTAGTGCTGCTAAACATAAACACTGTCTGCGTTTAGAGAACAATTTGAACAGCACCAGTACTCGGGATCTTTGGACAGGCGTTTACACTACCACTAATTACAAGAAAAGTGCGGCAATCATTGATACCAATGATATTGCATTGCCTGATCGCCTGAAAGAGTTCTACGCTCACTTTTACCATAACATTCCCGAGATTGGGTCACCGCTGAAGAGACAGCTGACATTACAGATCAGGAGCCGTCATTCACAATATGGCCTGAAGATGTTGTGCAGGTCCTTTCAGGCCTGAATGCTCAGAAAGCTGCAGGGCCAGACCAGATCACACTCCACCTTTTACGCAGCTGTATGCATCAAACTTGCCGATATTCTTGCCAACATCTTTAACTGGTCACTCAGCATAGCTAAACTACCCCAGTCTTTCAAGAATTCGATCATCGTTCCAGTGCCAAAAAAAAAAGAAATTGATTAGTTCATTGAATGACTATAGGCCTGTAGCACTGACGTCACAGATTGCAAAGTGTTTTGAACGCTTAGTAATGAATTTTATGAAGTCACTATTGCCAACAGATTTAGATCAATGTCAATTTGCATATCGGAAAAATCAATATGTTGAAGATGCCGTGAATTACTGTTTGTATTTTGAAGCATCTGGAACCTGGGAGACCAACTTTGTCAAAATATGCTCGTATTTTATTTACTGATTATTCATCAGCTTTTAATACCATAATGCCATCAAAGCTTTATCACAAGCTGATTGATCTTAATTTACCGGGATATTTAAGTAAGTGGGTTCTAGAATTCTTACTGAAACATAGACAGATTATCAGAATTGGTTCAAGGTTTTTGAAACCAATTGTTGTGAGTACTGGAACCCCACAGGGTTGTGGTCTTTTATTGTACAGTTTATTTACACATGATTGCAAAGTGGAGGATCCATCTAGTGTGATTGCAAAATTTGCTGACGATACTACCCTGACTCATTTAATTTGTAATGAATCCACATCAAGTATAATCTCTTGCAAAATGCTCTGAATTGAATAATCTTGTCTTGAATGTTGACAAAACTAAGGAAGTGATCATTGACTTTCACAGAAATAAAGGTCCAATTGAACCAATTGTCATTAACGGAAGGAATGTGGAAATTGTAGATTGTTTTAAATTTCTCAGCAGTTCATAATGAAAATCCTGTCTTGGTCAACTCAAGTATCTGAAAATTTGAAAAGGGGCCAACAGCATTTGTATTTTTTATGTAGACCAAATCCTTTGGAGTGAGCAGACATATTTTGCTTAATTTTGATAGATGCGTAATTGAATCTTGCCTGACCAGCTCTATTATTGTCTGATTCAATTGTGAAATTGATAGATTGGCTTGGGTGGTTAAAAATGCATCACACATAATAGGATTAAGTTGGATGACATGAAATCGATTTATGATAGGAGAATGACGAAACGTGTTCAAAATATTGTTAATGACACGCATCATCCAGTAAATGAGTTCTTCCATGTGATGCTTTCAGGAAGGAGGATGAGATGAATGGGTGCAAAACCAACCGTTTCAAAAATAGTTTATGCCATTAGCCGTGCAGGTTTTTACAAAGGGAATTTTTAATCATAAATTGATTATGAATAATTGATTTTAGAAACACCATTATTTTCCTGGGGTTTTTATTGATGGGATTTCATGAAATGAGTATGTGTATAGCAATTGTAAAGTTTGTTTTAATCTCTGTGGTAATTAGTTTAATTAGTTTAATTGTATGGTATTTTTAATGGGGTTATTTGTATGTTTATGCGAGTCCAACATTCCTTTGATTGTTTTTCTTTTAATCATTGGTTGAATCTTCAATCTTTCTGTCACCAATTTTGAGGAGTGAGTTCAACATTACATGTTCATTTATATACGTACATGTATTGAGTTCAGTGGAGTTCAACAGTTATGACAAAAATTTTGACACAAGTGAAGTACATGTATTTCCAGAGTTCATCAAATGTACATGTAATCACAGAGTCGAGACTGTGCAAGAGGATTAAACCATCCTTTAACTCAAAGAAAGTCACACTACCTAGAATGATTGACGTTTGTTACCACACTATAACATGCACAGATGATTGACTCCCACTTACTGTATATCACAACTTTTAGAATAGCCAAAAGAAATGAACCAATGACTGTTGTTTTTCTTTTTGTGTCCGATGGGGCCAAAAAACCATTGTTTTCTCACATTAACTTTTAAACACACAGTAAAAAAAATGACCTTGTCTCTGTGATATACTTGTACTGGTCTACTCTACATTAGAAGAAGACTTATTATAGAAAATGTCCTCCATTGCTGAACTACATGTACATCCTTAACACATTGACTGCTGACTGAGTATACTTGTAGTGGCAGAATGCGGTACACTTGTTACCAGGCGGTGCCAACTTTTTTTTTTTTAGCATGCCTGATTATGCAGGCCATACCATACTTTTCAAGCTGAATTTGACAAGAGTGAATCTTACCTGCATTGTTTCTGCCATGGTGTGAGTTCTTTTCAAGCTGGTTACTTCTTCATCTTCTTCTTCATTTCCATCCTCTACTCCATCATCCTCTTCCTCTTCCTCATCTTCCTCCTCTTCCTCCTCTTCTTCTTCTTCTTCGGCTGCTGCCTTTGTTATGTCTCGTGTTTGGGAACGAGTCTCTCCAATAGGTGCATCACCAAGCAGTTCCTGAGCTTCCTGTTTAGAGAAAAAGTAACCTTAACGCCATATACATGCACTCGCCAGAAAGGCGATATGGCTTCTGGGTCTGGTAAAATAGTGTTAAATGTATTTACACAAGTAGAGTCCATTAATACTACAATGCAGCATGCACTAAACGTCACACAGTGGTTTACATGTACCTACATGGGGAGGAGGGGATGTGCCCTTTCCATTAAGCTCCATCAATCATAGATAATTGCTGATATTGATATATACCGATATGTAATACCGATGTATCAAATTTTTTCGAAGAATGTTTCCAAGCTCAAAACCAATGGCATAATGCTGAACACCTTTTGCAGTTAGGCGGCTTAGGCCCCTCCCAATTGGTTCTAACCTTGCAGCACACAATAAGTCTGCTGGAATTCACAAGCTTTTTTAATCTTCCCCAAACAAATGAACACCTGACAACACCAACCTGCAGTCAGATCAATATATATATTCGAATGCAAGGCATGAGAACTCCACGGCCAGTCCACGATATCCGAGCGGCCGGCTTCATTGATGATGTGCCTCATTTAAATATAAATTTTACTTGCCCAAACCGTAAATTCAATTCCGTGAAGCTTTAAATGATCCTGAATATCAGCCCAGCTTGCATGTCCAGGACAATTCCTTGAAAAGGATGCAACATCAATCAAACCATTTCAATGACTCAAAGAAAACCAGCCGGCAAGTGGCTACTTAAATAAGTGCCGCTTTGTTCGGTCTGCAGAACCACAAAAGGCGCCGCACATTGCAGGTACTATTGTTCAATACCACAAGTTGGGCCTACACTCAAGTGATCACAGTGTCCACATGTCTGTTATTACTGGTGGCACTGGTGAATTGGGATTTGGAGCAAGGGGTTTGAACTGATAGTGTGGAAAAATATTGGGAAAAAAACTTGGTTTTTTTAATGATTGTTGGAACTTTGACACTGGGGCCCGAAGACCTAACCATAGTTTTATCTGAAGGCTGTGACATTTGTGGATTTGAACTTTAAGGTACATTAATGTTTCTTTTATGCTTATGCTATAGTCAGTTTTCGTCGAAACCTGTGTGAGCCTCGCACATCCAATTCCATTTAACTGCGTGCAACTTCCCTGGCACCAACTTGCTCTTTGAACTTGAATTTCTTTTTTATGACAGGCAATCAGAAAGTTATGTCTTGATGACACGTTGACAGTTACGCATACTTGGAAGTTACTATGCACGTGACCCCTACAATAGATGCACATTTTGCGATGTTACTTTTGACATTAAAAATTGGAGTTGATTCCAAGTGGAAGCTGAAAATGTTGGCCTCTAAACCCCTAAGCAATTCACCTTAGCTGCACTATTGACATCAAACTATTGTCAAAAAACTTTCAACCCTGTCTTGGAGATACAAGGAAATCTTATCTAAAATACACTAATAAAATAGTATCAAACCTTTGCTGTTTCCTTCATAGTATGATCTCTTGGCACCCTAGGTGGATCATCAACTTTTGTTTCCTCAGAAATCTCTTGGAGACGCTGTTGCTCACCTCTTGTCCTGGCATCCTTGTCAATGTTGGCATCCTTCAGGATTGCCTCACTCTCCTAAATAAAAAAAGGAATACATGTTGCTGACTGCCTAAACAAACATACATGTAAATATTTCTTTTTGTACATGCATTCAATTTGCTTCTCTGTGAATGCACTGACTTAGGAAGTTCTTTTACAAGAATTCGTAACAAACTCTGGCTGTTTTTGAACCCTTTTTCTTCACAGTGTTCCATTGGCATTGTTGATGCATGATACGGTACATATATTATGTAACAAATTTGGTTGATTTGCATGTTATATGCAGCTGGTAATCAATTAGCCAATCATGACAAGACAGGAGAAAAATTGACATATACAATGAAGTACACACAGAGGTACACATAGAACAATATTTGCCATGCTGTTTCAGTTCTTAAAGCTAGACTCTACCTAGAGGGTTAAAATTGGTTTTCTTCCTTTTATGTGATAGCAGACATATGGTAGATTGTGTCCCATTCTTTACTTTTTTCTCTGTCACCTTAAAAACAAAAACAATTTTTAATTTGAAATTCCCATCATTCTGAAAACAAAAAGTCATGATGATTCATCGGCAAGATTTGTGTGATGTCATAAATAAGACTGACTACATGTATATCTAGTTTCTGCGCTTTGAATGCTCATTACCTCTCCTACATATGACCTGCATGTATAACATCTGAACATAACAATGTCGGCATCAGATTTCAGATCCGAAAGTTGGATCACAGCAACTGATTCAGAGTTTTTCAGAAAATGATAATCCGGACTCTAAAAATTCATCGGATGAAGACCTTTCCGGCGATGAGGAACTTGAAGATGTACGAGGTGCTGAACCATACAGATTCGAGCCCCTTGCACCGGCACAGTGTGAAAGTGAGCATGGTGGCAGAGATCAGATGATTACGGTATATACTGCACTATACTACAGGCTAAAATCCAAACCTGTTTTTATGACCCGACATGTTTGATGGCAATGCATCCACATGCAGTATGCAGGGCCTAAAGTGCTGGGATGAATGAGTTTGGGGATAGACCCACGTTGGTTTAATAAATTTTTCCAGAATATGCAGTAGCGAAATGGGCAAGTGATGGGTCAATGACTGAAATGCAGAATGGATACAGCCTTGATTTAAAAACATAAACCCCCAATACTAAAGGGACGAATTCAGAACACACTTGTTAACCCCAGGCTACCCACTTTTCTTTAGGCTGTGAGAATGATAGATTTGTGTCCACCACCCATGTGCCCCGAAAGTTGCTGCCCATACATTTTGATGTACTGTTACTGTACATGCATGGAGGAATAAAATACACATAAATGCATGATAATTCTGCTACATGTACATGTAGGTATAATGTTCGTTGAGTGAATTGTGCTAGTAAAAATACCTACAAGTGAGTCTTAACTGTTTCTCATCAGTATCAATGACATAGAAGCATTCCAAATATGTACCTGTACTTGCATTGGAGATGTGCTGTTTTATTCTTATTTATGTATACACATGTACTTTTAAGAACAATGTACACTGTATCATTAATTTCAATATATATATTTTTTTTCTAGGAAGTACCAACACACATCTTACAGACAAGTCATCTGGTGGTGCTGGGGATTTCTTGGATGGTACAACTGAGTTCCCCTGCCATTATGCATCATGCTTATGACAAGAACGACTTTTCCAGACCCAGAGGATAATTACGAGGGATTCAAATATCCAGATATGGATGTCATCTTTTAAATACATATGTTTAACTTTATGATTAATTTTTCTTGATTATTTGCTGGTCAGTTTTTTGAGGGTGCCATTTTCCACTAAAATTCCTTCGGACTTGCAGGGTTAATTTTGGGAAAGATTGAATGAAAAACATGCGTGTACAGCAACTGTTTACTGTATTCAGGTTCATAAAGGGTACACCATATTTTTGCCCATTTTGCAAAAATTAGTTCTGCATAAGCTCTAAGCAAGGCCCCATTAACTCCATCTTCAGATCATGTGAATGTTGAAAAATACATGTACACACATGTACATGTGCAAAATTGCCAAGAGTGATCAGCGTAATGATAAAGCTTGATACGGAGCATGCTTTCCTTTAAAAATTGACATGTACGTTTGGTGAAGTTTCTCTTGCAAGATTTGTTTCAAGTAAACTGGAAAATACACTTGATTGCATAAGAGACTGAAGTTTGTTTCCACATTTCCATGTCTTATGTCTGGCTGTATTTTGAAGCAGACAAGCATTCTCCCTCTTCAGAAACCCTTGTTTTCTTCTTTGATTTCTTCTTGTGCATTTTGTCCTTATGGGCTTCGTCCTCGCCTTTCTTTTGTCCTTTGTCCTTCTTGGATTCCTTGGCTTTCTTTGGAAGTTTTGCCGACACTACAACATCCTCGCAGCCTTCGCATCGCCCTACCAGCTCCACGCTTACCAAAGTGAGAAATGAAAGAAGTCACTGCTTCCTCTTTGTTTGGGCATTTTACTCTCACTGTTAGGGGAACAGGGTTTGCCTTGAGCTCAGGGTAGTTGTTCCTCATATCCTGGCCATGTTTACAAAGATCCAAAACCTTGCCAATTATGAACTTGGTGAAATCTGCAAAGAATCAGTTAAAAATGAGTGTACATACATGTACATGCAGTTTGGAATGGCAATTGAAGGAATATGAGGGATTCATGTCTTCTCCTTTGTGTCCCTCTTTGTTGTCATTTTTTGCAATTTACTGTCATTTCACGCAGACCCTCCAAATATTTCAGGAATGTACTGCATTGATGAATGGTATGTAGAATTTTCTGTACAAGCATTCCTTCTTTAGATTTTTCATGGCATTTTTTCTTACACTGCATGTACTACAGTATGGCCATATTTGACACTGGAAAAAGTTGGAAAGGGCTTACTCTAGGAGCTCCACATCACCACCTGTCTCATGCTGTACCTTACAGTAGGCTGCTTTGCCCTTGGGTAGTAGATGCTACAGGCTGGATTGCCTAGCTTGTCCACTGCTTGCTTTCTTAGTGTTCTCATTAAATGCAAGGCAGCTAGGTAGATCCTGGGGAAAATGTCCAAAAAATACATGTACAAAAATATTGCCAGGTAAACACAACACTCATATGAAAGTGGGATGTCACTACGTTATTTTTATTATTTTACTCTGGCACTGAGCCAAGGATCCTAGAAAGCAAACCTAATCACTGTACTACAATGTAGCCTAGAACCCATAGAGGAGATGACGGAGAAGGAAATAACAGGTGTGGAAGGAAAACCCCATAGAGATATTGTGGGTACAGCCTACATGATCAAGCAGGGACTGACGCTCCAAATCCACTTAGTGCCCCAAGTCAGAATTGAATTGGAGCCTCAGAGGTGGAAGGCCAGGAAAGAACTGCTGCTTCATCCTGACCACCCTAAGTTTTATTTGATTTTAAAAAAATTACCAATGTGCCTCAAGATATTTCCTCAACTGCACAGCATACCCTTATAAGAGAATGCATACATCTTTGGTAGGTAGTGGTTAATTACAGAATGGTAGCTTTCTTCAGATGATGTCTGCATCGATGTTGAGAGTATCTTCATGTCTTTTCGAACCCATGTGCTGTCCAAAATACTGGCAATCCGTTTAGCTGGTGTAGAGCCTAAAAGTTATACTACTTTAATTTTAACACAATTTTTCCACTCAAACACTGCCAACCAAGAATTATTTGGGGGGGCGGTAGGTGGGCAAAATTGCAATTATTTTTATTTAAGATTCGAGTTTTGGTGGGTGTTGAAATTGTTTTGACCTCGTTCAGAATAAGCATTTGTATGGAGGGGAAGGGGCAGGACATTGTTGCAAGGTACCGAAACCAGTCTTGGAAAAGGTGTCATCTGTGATCTTGAACACAAGTTAGAAGTAGAAATGAAGCAGGGGGAGAGGCTAGTTGCAAAATTCATCGTTGAGAAGATGACAGCAACAAAAGACAGGGCTCAGGAGAAGCACCAAAGTACTATTTGACAAAGCCATAGCTGTATTTAACCAGGCCTGAATTGGTCCTACTAAGATACCTGGCTTTATCCACTTTCATTCTGGAAGTTCTCCGTGCGCACACTGTGGGAAGAGCTGGCTGTCATGATGATGGGCATTCATCACAGGATTGACTGCACTGGAGAATTTGGCCAGCATCAAATCACCACCTCCATCAGGGGTGGAAGCCGTGAACCAGTAGACATTGTTGGTAATCCCCTGGATCCAGTCCTGATTTCTCCACATCCAGATGCATTTCCAGTAGGCCTATTATTTAACTTCTTCTATAGATCTAATCAAAGAAACAGTGCAACTTGTCAATGACATTTTATGATACACGTACTTGAAGATGATTCTTTTCAAGCACCAGCAATGATACGCTGTCAAGAGCTTATACTTTCGTCTGTTGGTGTAAGGCAATAGAGTTAAGTATTTACATATCTCCTTTGCCTGATTGAACATAAAAAATGCATTCTGAATTATGACCCGCCTTTGGCAACATGCCACACATCATAAATTGATGGATACCACGGGGACACAAGTTTTCTCGGATATACTTCGCGATCTGCTTGAGACGATCAGTTATGATGGTGCTGATGTTGACATTCTTGCTGTCCAACCATTTGACTGCCCTTCAGTGGAGACTTGTAGTCAGTCTCGCTCTTCGGTGGAAGTGACAAATGCACATAAACAAAATATGAGCATTGTAACTGACAAGAATACAGCAACCTTACGTCCGGATTGACCTGAAATATCACTAATCCTAACAGTCCTCAGTCCTCCAAGTTCAGTATGATTTTGCACATATCCTAGGGGGTTGGTACTTGGCCACTTTAAAATAAAATGAAAAGACTACCAAGTAAATGTGAGGAGCATTCTGAATCAGAAGTAAGAGTTGTGACAATGTTATATTCACCTGCATGTGCTCAAAGTGGAGAACTTTACCCTGGCTCAACTCCAAAATAATGTAGAAGCCAAATTTAGCTGAATGACCCATGGAGTCCGCACGCATATCTGCACCAACACCACTGTTTTCAAAATCAGACAATATCAAGGCTTGCTGCTCATACCATACATCTATGATGGCAGGCTGGAGATATCTACATGCACAAGAGGTAAAAAGAAACCAACAGTAATTATTTGAATATGCAATGTATTTGCTGTTAACCCCTTCACAGCGAGATTATTTTGACCGTGACTGCTGGGCTGTGGTATGCCCTGAATGGAGGGCTTTGTCCAGCAGTAGGCCCCATTGAACCAGCAGCTGCATGGTGAATAGACTGTAAGTGTGGTATGCACTAATCCTCACACAACGGTGTGGCAGTAGCAGTCCTCCGTAACGAAGGGGTTAATAAAGAAATAGGCAGATAAATAAATTCACAGTAAATGTAGCCAATGGCCTATTGAGTTTCACATTGGGGGACAGTGGTGTGGTGGCATGGGAAAATTGGGGAAAACTAATTTGGGGGATTCAGCGCAATTATGCAAATGTAATTTTTTTCTGTGTTTTTTTCCACAATCTAATTGTTTTGTTTGGCTGGGAAAAGTAATGGGTATGAGTATCTGTTTCAATTTCATTTATTTGAAAAGAGCAGAATATTGCGGAGGGAGGGAAGACTGCCTCCTACCTAAACAGTGGGTATGTCACTTCATGTACATGTACCTTTGCTGATGAATAAAAAATGTGCTGTAGGGTATCATCGCCACATTGATGAAAGCAAGAGCATTGATGAATTTCCTGATGTTGACACCAGACATCAGAATGGCGGCTGAAATCAGAATGCTCCCAGCGGCCACACTGCCCACCACTGGCTGGCTTCTGCAACAGTGGACATGACTGCATGCCTTGTCTGTACACGTCTGAACAACTTGGATCGCCATCCCTCCGAGTGGACGGGTTACTTTCTTCTTTGAGGGGCCTGAACATCAGGGGCATGTTTTGAAGAGCTGCAGAAGGCAAGAGTGAAAAATGAGGTACTTCTTCTCATCCAGAACTCCCACATCCTCTTTTGGCTCTTCATCAGAGCTGTCAAAGCAATAACAAAAATCACTCTTTTACAGACACCAGTAATCAATTTGTTGAATGACATACACAGCACAGCACAGAGTTTTATATGTTGCAATATGAAAGTTAGCACTTGCATTCAGCTGCATTTTTTTATTTAATCATTATGACCCCTTATGGATAGCACTCACTTTCGCAACAACTCCATTATTGTAAAATGTGGAAATTAAGTAATTGTCACTCCTCTGACTACTAAGACCTGTAAAAATTAGTAAGTTCACTGGAGGACGACCTTACAAATTATAAGTTCAATATTTACAATCTCAGTTCCAAAATCTGCAAACTAACAGTTGTCTGAACCCGAGAATGGAGCACTGGACACCTGGTAGCTGTCACTGCTACAATACTGGTCCTCGTTATCACAAGGCGGATGTTCCTCTGCCACAGGTGGATCATCATTTGTGTCGCTTGTGGGCAACACCCATTTTTTTTAGGTGTTTTATGATTTCACATTGAATCTTCAAGGGACGCCGTCTCTAGACTGCTTGAATACCTGTAAACAAAGTGAAATACAAGTTTCATTATTATAATGTACATGTACAATATCAAGGCCAATAAGTTTCCTTTACAAACACAACAGCACTTTTGCTGGAAAACTTAACAAATCAAACTTCCAGCACAAAGAATTGACCACAAACTTTTATTACGAACAGAAAACTTCTTTGAGTTTGTCTGGTATCTCCTTTCAATACATAAAGATCCTTCTCCTTGTTTATGGGGACCACATCAAACTTCACAACATCAAGTTGGATAGCCAGCATAGGGCATCTAATCTGTGTTCATTGGTGTTGCTGGCTTGCTGCTTTATTTGCGGTCATGTTGTCACTGCAATCCTATTCAATATCAAACAGAACAATCTAATGGGGATTGAAGATGAATGGATGCCAGTAACACTGTATAAAAGGTCAGGGTTCTCCCAACGTACAAACTTGCGTATCGGGCCCGATACGCAATTATTTCTGCACGATATGCAAAAAACGGGCCAATACCCATCTTTTCATCTCCAATACGCACAATATAATTATCACAGTATGGCTCAGAATTTTTAAAATGCAGATTGCATGTCACTGTCACTGTGCTGCACACCGTACATGTACTGTGCATGCATTGTGC